ATTTCTCGGGGGATATTTCTTATATCGCCCTGAGACACGTGAATATCACCTTTATAGCGAATATTCCTAGGAAGATATTTCTTATATCGCCCTGAGACACTTGAATATCACCATCAAAGGAAATATTTACAGACGATATTTTTCTTACATGTATGTCATCCAAAGCACATTAGTATAACATAAGTATATATGCAATTTCCTGGAATTTAAGATATTAATTAACACAAATACATGAATATTCATAAATAAGCGTAATATTATTTTCAGAGAAGTTCAATGTCTCTTGCACGACGAGGTCGGATACCACGCTTCTTCCGAAACCAAGCGACGCAGTCTGGTTCCCGTACTAGGGTGGGTAGAGGAAGACAAGAGCTTCCTGGACCCCGGCATTCACAGCCGGAAACGACAAAGGCACGTGTACAACTGTTATCTAATGCTGGGAAAGGAAGCTCGCCTAGTCGGACAACTCTTACTGGTACCAACAGGTGAATAAAAACTATTCATTTGCATAATTATCTAGGTATATGTCCTGTGACAGTTTAAAAAAACACCTCATTTGCCATACTTAGCTATTTTTTGTTACCTATGCATTTTGGCATATAGATGTAGTGTGTATGGATGTCCAAATACCACTTTGTAACCTTCATCATAAATTGTTTTAAATTCAACACCACTTTCTTCAGGGGCTAAACATCTGCAATATTCTAAATTCATTATTACAACATTATAAAAGTATTCGAGCTTTTTACAACAAAAAAACACCAAAAAAAAAAACATTTCTGAGACACAATGTGCTTTGAAAGATATGTTTAACAACATTGCCTGCGACTATTTTTGCTGTTCAAAATTGGATAAAAAATCGTTGTTTTTTTTCATGTTGCAGGTTCAGAACAGTGGGTAGTCGGAGACGGTTTAGCCGACCAAGTAATGCTATGGTCCTGTCAGCACTGCGTCGACAATCTCAACCAACGAAGACCAGTGAGACACAACCGTCTGCAACAAGAAATCTACCGGTGTTAGGGTTAAAACCATCCATGATAAATGACCAACTAAAAATATTTGCAAGGAATTTAAAAGTTATTGATGGCACTATAGAACTTACACGTCGTCCTACAAGCGCTAAAACAGGTCGATCAAAAGACAAACGAGTGTCGATAAATAGGGAAACAATGCCAAAAGAGCAGACACAAATAACGCGGAGCAATAGAGTGCTGCCAAAATCTGGTAGAATTAGCAGGCAAAGAGTAGCTCCAACAAGAATAGCTCCTACGAGTCCCAAAGGGGATCCAACTTTGCGTTCGCCTTTGAGAATTAGAGCCAGATTAAGACAGATCTCCAGCCAAGCACCGAAAACCGTCCACCGTAAGGCTCCAGATCCAAGTAATATTAATACTAGGAACGACGGAACTGGTAATAATAACGGCGGAGGGAGAAAAGTGCCTGGTCGACAGAGAGACATGATTGCAATAGATGATATAATATCACTGGTCAATGCTATACGCGGCGGTAAAGACCAAAATCCCGTCTCCTCTCCAAGCAAATCAAGTCCCGTGACAACCAAAATCAGTAAAGCTACCAACGACCGTAACATCAACAACAATGCACTTAACAATAACAGCAAAGCGAGCAGCAACAAGAAAGGTAACAACAACAATAATGCTGTTACAAACACCAGTGAGATAAAGGCACCTAATCGAAACAATCAAAGATCAACATCTGGGAGCCATGGAAACTCCGGAATTCCAATGCAAATGTTGGTACAATTAGCTTTGATGACACGAGGCGAGGGTGGAATGAATGGCGGTGAAAATGCAGGGTTTTTAAGCGGTATGTTCTCAAATCCAGCATTCCTTCAGCAAATATCTACCGGAAGTGGAGGGAATCTTCTGCAGATGATGTTGGCCGGAAGTGAAAACAAACAGACTGGTAAGGGAGGAGAAAACATGCCAGGAAACAAACAGATTAATCTAAATGAAAACCCGTCTGTCCTGCAAGAACTTTCTGGAATGAAAATTCCGAAAACGGGTAATCCGATACAAGACCAAATGATATCGTCATTATTGGCACATACAATGACGCATTTCCGTGAGGAAATACAGGAGAACCTGCGTAAAAGAATGTATGACGGGGACTCCCCGCCCTCAAAAAGAAAAGATAGACCTATGATTCGCTTAGACCTACGACTCAAGAGCCAAAATTCTAAATGCAGTTATGGAACTGGGATTGAGTTGTTTCTAGATTTAAACTACTTGTACATGTAGACATTGTTTATTAAATTAAGTAATTTAATAGTGTTTTTTTTTCATTTGTGTGGAATTCAGTAATCGAAGATTATATTTTACGCTCGACATACAGTTGTTTTTATATCTTTTTCAAAGAAATATAATGACATGCTTCAAAAACGAGTTTTTTACATATACAGACATACCTGTGAACAAAGGTCATCCAAAGAAGGGGCCAAACATGGTCTTTATACACAAGTGGTCTTTTTTAGGGGTTTCTCAGTTCTGCTTGATAAATAATAGTTTGTTGAAGAGTGGTCTGGTCTTTTTTCATAGGGTAATCATTCGATAAAATTCTAGCTCTTTACCTACTATCTTTGTGTTGATTTAAAATTTAAACAGTTTATTTGAAGGATTTGAGTATTAAAATACAATCCTTCAGCTACTATCAGTATCGAATCTGATCCGACTGCACGATTGCAATTGCTGTCCCGGCTCTATACATGTGGCGAAGGCTAAATTTGTTTGGTTCAACAGGAACTCCACTAAGGTAAAATACCTAAAACATAAAATTTGATGTTCTTACTTTAATCAACTGGGGCACTTAAAATTAAAAGAAAGGCAAAGGATAATTAAGAAAAAAACCGTATTTTTTGTGCTATTCTAAGCCCGATTTAGCGTTGCAACGTTTTTCAATTTTTGACCAGTTTTCACAATTAGAAAACTAATTCAGGAAAACGGAGTGAGCGAATGATCTGAAAGTTCGCACACAAGTTATTGGTCTTAACCTTAATCAAACAGAACACTTATCTCGAAAAATATTTCCGGTTCCATCATGTCAAAAAACCTCAGTGGAGTTCCTTTAAACTGGTTAAAGTACGTTGACCATTATAAAAAGGTCCCTTCATGCATATTGTTAACGTATTCCTATGATCAAGACATTTTGCAAAAATTATATCTGTTATCCAATACACCGGGCAAATATCTTAACCTTTAACCTCATGAGCATATTGTGAAAAATGGCCGTTTTCATTGAAAAACCTCCTGTTACAAGTTCAAACTGCTATGAAACTATGAAAAATGTTTCAATACGGATGAAACTTGGCACAAATGTTGACGTAATATATTGCTAACAATTACAGTTCTTTAACATAAGTGTGCTTAACTAAATTTTAGTCAATGATCAATCTGATTAAAATCAGCTCCTTATTAAAGCTATGCATTAGGATCTGACGACCACCAAGTTCAAGTTTCAAGAGTTTATTCAGCATAAACATACAATATGTTCATTGCCATACATATGATATAATGTGCATGTAATATGACAAGAAAACAAACAAACAAACAAACAACAAAAATAAAATACATTTGGTAACAATGAGAATAACCCAAACAAACACACACACACACACAAAATATTTTTGAGAAAAGTGTAAAGAAATAGTAATTATTCAATATGTATTTAAACAGTCAGTTTTATTGATTATACATATCTCGTTTACATGTAGCTAGGTATAAATACTTTGCCAGTTTATTTATAATACTTTTTTGGCAAGATGTCATAATATTTCTAAATTTCTGGATACTAGGCCAAGAACAGTAATAATTAGGAAGGCAACGATATCTTATTTCTCTATAAAAGGGACACACTAATAGAAAATGATACTCATTTTCAACAACATTCATGTTACAACGTAAACAGATTCGTTCAGATCTTGGAATATTCCTGTGTCTACCTTCCTCTATCAGTAATTTGTGAGCAGAACATCTAAATCGACATAAAGTAGTACGATAATTTAAATTACTAACACACAACAAATATTTTTCCGCAACATGTTCATTTTTAAATATGCAATAAGTTTCTAATTTAGGTAAACTGTTGATTTCACTTTGCCATTGTTGTAAGTATTGATCTTTTATTCGTGCTATTAAAATATTTAGTTGATCATTTGTAATATTTTGATTATTCCATAAAAACGGAAAACCTAAATAGGTTGTCATTTTCTCTTGACTTTTCAAACAGCCAATCATCGGCGAGCTTTCACAGTTTTGAAAGCGATGCGGTTTCTAAATTTAACCGCTGGAAAACCAATACTGAGTAGGTTATTTTCACGAATTTGAGAACAAACATGGCATTGTCCGTATAACAAGCCAGTAATAACGACAAAACAACCTTGCAAACTAAAAAAAAAAATGATTCCATTATTCCCAGTTTATTTGTTCCGAATAACTTCTAACACTTTATTTCTATAAAAAAAACAAAAATTTGTTTTACTTCCACGGACAGCGATATTTTGATACTTCGTCTAATGCCTATCTGAAAATTACATGGCTAAAAATAACTTTCTCGGGAAATCCGAATCACAATGAAGGCGAAACAAATACGGTTGCAATCAGATCTACATGCATGAAATAAAGTTATGTCAGATTGTTTTATAATTAAATGCATTTTCAATGAACTTTAAATATGTCTGTTATTTTGAGTATCTGATGGATATTATTTCTCAGAACAACTTTCCGCACTTTCCGTCGATCCCGAAGCACATAGGTAAGTACACGCAGAACGGATATGGTATTTCAGTCACAACAAAACATGTATTCAACAACATTAGAAGTTGATGCCTAATGCATATTAATATTTAGAGTAAAAGTTCACCTAATTTAAATATATTTTGAGATATAATAGTAAACTTTACATTATTTATATACTTATGAATATGGTTTTAGAAACCAAAAGTACAAAATGTCTACCTGTGGACGTTAAATCAGATTTGGTTATAATTGTACATCGGTGGCTTTTTTTTTAAATAATTCATGATTTTCAGACATATGTTCAATCATAGTTTTACCGAAATATACATGTACAATGTACTTTATTTTCCTTTGATGTCAAATGTATACATTCGTTATACATTATCAATCAATACGCCTTCTGTTTATGTATAAAGTCACGTGGTAGAACTACTTTCTGTTTATGTTTACATCTAAAGTCACGTGGTAGAACTACTTTCAATCCGTATAAAGTCCAATGTTATTATTGATAAGAGCCGAGATGTCCCGGTTGTACGATTTAAACATCAGGTAAAATAAACAGTTAACGGCATCAAGACGCCAAGACTTACGTCTGCTGTTGCCAATGAAGCTATGCTCACGTGCAGACGACATGTCCCGAGCGTTCTTTGTTTTCGTTTGGCCGGTCTTTAGCTCCCAGTTGTTAATTTTGATAGCTCATCAGTATTTAAAGAAAACGTTTAGATCACATGCAAAATCTCGTGTTTAGCCCAATAAACTAAATAACTACGTCGGCAGTTTAATGTTCCTTTGCTTTGATGTCACTGTACGCATATGAAACACTTTTCGTCGTTATAATAATTGATAGGGAAACGATAGGGAAAAATCACGTGTTATTTTCAACCTTGACTCAATGCCTGTTTGTTTTTATTATGAAAATACGACCAAATTTGACTGTTTATGAAGGTTTAAATACTATTTGTTTGGTATCAGTAAATATGTACATAGCTTCGGCCTTGACTACCATTATTACTGGCACATGTGCATACTGGAGATTATTGTCAACATGCGACTCTTGACAATGATGCCTTGCCCATATGATTCTTCACGTGACAGACGACTTCTGAATTTATATTAAGTTATTAACCCTTTTCACACTAAATATCTGAAATGGACCAGTCCAACTTCGTAGAATGATCTTTCAATCTGGACCGAACCATTCACTATTTTAGGGGAAATTTCAAAAAATAATAATGGCTAAATGGCGGATAGTGCAGACCATGAGCAGTATGCTTAGATGTACCGGTTGGATCAGGATCTGCAATGGGGTATATCCAGTTGCCGTCAAAAAGCTTAAGATAACAAGATTATACATTAATTTTGCAAGTTAAATATTGTGAAGTGAACATAGAAAGTAATATATAAGCTCAAGTATTTGCATGGTACATGTCACTAACAATCCACATTATTTACCATAAAAAGGACAACATATGCAAAAAAAAATCCTTATTGTGTTAGTCACGCGCTAGAAATATGGTGATTAATGCTGCAAAATCAGTTATTAATCGCACGTAACATGTTTGATTTACTTCAATCTTGCATCATTTTACTTTCCTTAAAATCTTAGTTCATTTTCTTAAGTATGATTTTCTTGAAATATTTTGGCTCATCTGGAGGCATACATCTTTAAAGGATGTGCGCATGGTCAGAGAACATTAGTATTAGAAGAAGAATTTCGGCAAACTGCACTTATCTTTTTATCAAAGATTTTATGTATATAAGGGTAAACTATGTTATCTGCAAACAGCAAAGAATGCATATATATAGATGCATTTGTCAACGGTTTTATACGGGTGGTGCAAAATATGCCAAAAATGAAACTTGTTTACAAAGGTATTTGACAATAGCTCGTAGCCTTATGATATGGCTGAAAAAAATGTATGAAAATAAAGTTGAAGTTTTTTTTGAATGGTAACCTTAACTTGCAAAACAATTACATATACAGACATTTAAAGACATTGTTAATTCTACATGAAAAGTATTTGATAACTTATCTTTTTGAATAATTTAATTGAGATTGCAACACGTTTTTCAGAATTAAGACGTTTCTGTCATTTTAAATTTCACTCGAATAGTTTGAAAGTACAGAAAATAAGTTAAAGGTTTAGATTAATTGCACCAAATCATATTTATCATATTTATCATTTAACATTGTATGCATAATGTTATGCGCAATATTAACACCAATAAAGACACAATTGTCTCTCTTTAACGTTCAAAACATTCCCTTACATTTCTGATTTATTACACTTTTGTTTGATTAATAATCAAGCATCTATATCACTATACAGCTAATGTTGATTAATACACCTTTTTTATTGATATGGAGACCCTAGAGAGAAAAAAAGCGGTTTACCTGATGTGTAAGAGCGTATAGTAATGACCACAATACATTCACCGTCTTACTCACTGACCTAAATTATTTACTTGTATCATCTGGTGTGCACTGAGGCAAGCCTGTAGGTCATACATTGTTTTAGTACCATTGTCATATAAAAGACGACGGTGCGGCCAGACTTTGATTAGTACCATCTTTTAGCCATTTGGAATAAACATCTAAAACAAATTGAACATTTTCCTTATTATTTTTTCTTCTTCTGGACAGTGAAATAAATTGTGTATTTCTTCGACAATGCAGAACAAATTTCTAATTTTGGGATTTTTTGCTGTGGTTGCAGTCACAGAGAGCGTGCTTCTTGGACCAAAGGTAAATATATATAAAAATTCTTTGATTTTGATTAATTTTTTTCCATGCAAAATTTTCTTATTTGTTGCTCTGTCAGCTTTTGGAATAAAGTGCCTTTCTTTAATTATCTGCTGGTATCTAATAAAACATCAAATTATCTTTTAATTAAGTAATATTTCTTTTCTTTTTGGCATTAGGTTGCTTTCTTTAACTTGGGCGCTGTTGTGCAAGTGGGTGTTTCTGCACGCAAAACTGCCGATAATGTCATACATTTACCTAGCAATTGTAATTTTGCGTAAATGAATATCTGTGATAAACAATTTCTTTTCCATTTTTCATAAAATAATATTTTGTCTCATTTCGTGGTGTGTTAACGTGCAATTGTCAACTCAAGTTATAGAAAAAATATACTATTCGTTACTAAATTGCTATATAAACAGGTTTACTTTCTTCCTTTTTTTCTATTATTTTTCTTCCTAATTTAGGCATATTATTCATTTTAGTCATACATATGCTACAATTTCTCCTTAATTTTTAGGTTTTGCAACGTTTTCTAAAGATATGCATCAATACCAAAACTCTTAATACAAATAGTCCTTAATATTCTAAAAAAAAAAATAAGAAGAAAAATAATAAGAAAAACATATTTCAAATAGAGAGAATCCCTAGTTTTTATATATATATATATATGCTATTCTCACTTTGAAATTTAATATAAATACTGTGCATTTATTGTCTGAACTGTTAGTGATAAATTCATGCCGTTTTTCTATTTTTTACTTACAAACACAAAAGACCGCTTCATTATGTATGAAACAAGTTAACATCAAAGGACATAAAGCGCCTGTGAGAAGAAATTAAGTTAATTATCTATTAATTTCCTATTTATTATCTATTAATTACTAGTTACTACCAATTACATCAATGGAAACGCTTATTGTAACGGTGATGGGGACGTCATCCAGCGTTAATAAATATCAAAGGTGACGTGACAATCTCGAACTTTTAATATCTCATTAGTGTCTAAAGAGCAAATTTCTTAAACTTCTTTATTCACATTAAAATGTCCTATATTGTACAAAATCAATATCCAATACACACGCACAAAAATGCTTTAAAATGTACGAATGCAACTTTCTTTTCAATAGAGACAATAAGGCGGGAAAAACGATTCACTTCAGATAGTGTTTTCTTTTCCTTTTTACTAGCAAGTTTAATTTTTGATGTTTTAAATTAAATGTGCTTGGAACATTATTCTCACTAATATGCGTATACCGGTAACAATTTTTTTCTTTGGTAAAATGGAAGGCCAAATTTTCGATATAAAAGCAAATAAAAAAGTAAAACCGATTTCTTTATGGTCAAACAATCACATGCTACTAAATTCAAGAACTTTGTTTGTACAATAAACAAGTATATTTTGTAAAAGGAAGAATAAGAAATATTTTTTAAAGAATTTAGATAACATCATGAGTACCGCCCCTAAATCGAAGCAAAATTCATTTAAGGATTGTTGACGGCGATCCAGTGTCGCACCGTTAAGACATCTTATTTTAGGTTTTATATATAAGTTATATTCCTTACGAACGTCAACTAAGTAGATGTATTTATATTTTAGGCTAATGCTCCAGCTCGAGGAGGACAATGGAGACGGAAGACAAGTGTTAGTATTTCCGTGCCACACCATCCCAGCAAAGGGAGTTCAGGGCCAAGCCAGTTGAGTCAAAGTCTGTCGCTAAGAAACCTTAATCTGCAACCAGGTCAAACTAAGGTCATCACACAACGTCTTGTGGTGAGAAGACGTCCAAATGGAAACCCGACTAAAGGAAAACCCTCGCGTGGTGGTCGAAGACGAGGGGGCTCTGGAAGAGGGCATAATTTCAGACCTAATCCTCCTCACATAGGCAGTGGCCATGGCCAGAGAGGTGCTTATCCTTCTATGACTTCAAATCAGGGTCAAAGAGGCGCTCATCCAACTATGACGTCAAATGCGGTTGGTCCCCAGCATGGTTTATATCTTCTCAGCCGAATGCCTTCTGGCAGTCGTTTGAACCAACATATGTCTAATGGCCATCCAAATGGAATGGCGAGCTTACATTTACCTGTTATAGATATAAGCGGCATAACGCCAAGTCAACATTCGTTAGGAGCTGGAGGCGGTGCCGCAGGGGCGTCACTAGGTATCAGTCAAAATGGAGGGCATGGTATAGGAGCTTCACAGTTTAATCAACATGTAGCCCATCCGACAATGAACAATGGTGCAAATAATGCCAATGTCGTCCACACGTATCTTTCCGGAAACCAAAAAGTAATTGTACTCCAAGGTCCACATAGTACGCCTATAACCATAGCAGCTCATCTTGGAAGCAATGTGAATAGCTTGAATAACCAGTTTAATGGCGCCGGAGTCGCCGGACACTCTTCTTTCAATCCAAGCCATAAAACAAATGCCGGTGTCCCACAATCCAAAATCGTGCAGACGACAATGGAACCCGGCGAGGATCCGCCAGAGATCCGGTAATTTTGGTACCGCGTTTTAGATTTAGATTAGGTAGATCTATACTCTAAGTTTGTAGCTATTTAACACAGCTATTTTATAACATCGTGAGCATCGCCCTAAATCGAAGCAAATTCTTGTGAAGAATTTTTGACGGCGATCCAGCGTAGCACCGCACAGATGTTAAGAGGTGTGAGAAATGGAATCGAACACAAGTAGATCTAGTGTAGCTATTGCTTGGACAATTCGAAACAGACTTACGTCATAATGATTTGGCAGGCAGGCAGTTGCTTGTAGATGATTACAAGTCTGTTTGTACATCAGTATTTTTCAAGATACCATTTTTTTGGTAAAAATAGCGGGCTTGATTTGATGCCAAGTAATCACAATTGTACTATTCATAGTTAAATTATGTGTTGTTGTTTTTGGGGTTTTTTTTTGTTTGTTTTTTTTCCTTTAAATGCTGTAAATGCTACTTCATCAAGCATTTCATGTAAATCCCATTGAATTTTTGAAAATATACACGTACGCTTTTAACACGACTTAATTTAGTGAATTGGTTCAAGTCACTAAATTAAGTCATGTTAAAAGCGTACGTGTATATTATGCTTTATAACAAAATTTCTGAATTTTATTCCAGACTTATTGGGTACAAAACGTGAATATTTTAATAGAAAAATTCTATTAACTATAGAATATTTGTATAATAGCATTCGAAATTCTTAAGAATATTTATAATTTATATTGTTTATTACTTTGAAACTTTGTAATAAAATATATGCATTGTGAAAACGATAAATGGTTCAAGGGAGACAATTTTGCTGTTTCAACCAAGAATACGTTCACAACTACTAAATATATCAATTTAACATATGTTCGGTAACGGTTACTACATAGGATATATAAAATTGTATATTGGCTTGCATTTTAAAGTACATTGTCGTTGACTCGCTGTCGTAGAGGTTGAGAATATGTAAAACTATATTCCTCCAGGTATTCAACAAGGAGACGTTTTGCGTCGTACGCCATTTTAACAATCATATTTTTTCGCTTAAAAGAGACATTTCGCATTAAACTCTTTTTCAATAAGCATCATTCCGCTTTTCAACTTTTTTCCCATATTTCTTTGTACGGAATATGCAATTATAATTAATATTTAAAAAGCTACATTTTATTATAAAGTTATAGTTTATGGACAAAGCTGGTGTTTTGTTTTACAAGTTAAAATATTAATATCAGCATATGCATGCTAAAATATGATGAAAGGCAATATAAAATAATTAGTTAATTGTATAATGTTAATTAATATTAATCACAGGTCAAACGCGCAATATAATGTCAATTTAGACGAATTTATCATCTGTCCGAAATGACCCACATATTGATTCTATTGTATGACAAGCGTCTAGTGATCAAATTATTACCCATATACCACGTTTTCAAGACAGTTTTATTATCATTGACTTATTGTCGGTCGTTAAATTAACACAAAGACCGGTTTTATACCCAAAGTGATAAATGTAAGAGGTATAGTTTGATTAGAAACATTTTATATACTTATTAACGAGCATGCGGTTTTGTGTGGGAAAAACGCTCGTAAAGGACTTGGTACTATTTGTCAAATGATCACTTCTGATCAATTTAATACAAGTAACACCTGTTGTATGTTATGACCTGATAAAGTACTTCATGTACTAAAGATTGTCTCTTTTATACTTTTTGTTCTAATATTTATCTACTTTGTGTTTTCTATGTTGTAATTTACCATTTTGTTTAGTTGTAAATACCATTTTGTTACAAATGGTAAACTTCATGTTTACTTTATGTTTAATTATATGTTGAAAAAATAAATGTGAAAATAAAAAAGTAAAACTAACTTAATACTTGTGTTTAATTACATTTAATTTTTTCTATATTTATTTTTGTTTTCCTTTTATTATTTTTTTTTTTCGTTTTACATCGCATCAACACAGTAGAGGTCATATGGAGACTTTCCAGCTTTATTGGTGGATGAAGACCTCAGTTGTCTTTTTGTTTTAATCTATTGCAAATTCGGTCTTTTAATTTTCACAAGTAAGGAGGTTCTAATGTGAAAACTGTGACTTGTTAAAAGTCAAATGTAAGACTAGAGCCTGTTACAGCAGTTGTGGCGTTCCATACTTTTAATACAAAAGACATTCTGGATTGATTCGAAAAAATATATGCGGATTCGAAAAAATAAATGCGACATATCCAAATCAGATGAAACAATTTACAAATTGAAAGGCATGCTAAAAACTATGTAAATATACAATATTTTGCAGGAAGTGTTTTTTTACAATAAAGTATTTAAGTATTTTTTTTCCAAAATCCCTGAACATTTTTTGGCATTTTACCGTAAAGTTCTACATATGTTTCTTGTCCTTTACGATCATTGATTCCATAACAGATACAGTTTTAGATTGAAAACTGCTGAAGACGGTGCTAGGGGGACGTGAAAAACTTTGACCGATGCTAGAGTGCGTGAAGGATATCGCACTTTTGATCTTTTCCATCGATCCAGAAGTATCTCCTCTGAACGAAAGTTTACAATGACGTTGATGTTGTTGTAGTCAGTTTAGAGTTTATAAAAAAGAATTTGGATTGGTCAGAGAGGTACAATAAAAAATAAAACGTCACTGCTGCAGTCATTTTTGGCTGCTATATCATCTTCTCGGCCTTTTCCGTCAAACTTCGGATAAAGATTTGACGTCATAGATGGATTATTATTGATAATAGGCGAGATGTTCCGATTTTTCAGTCATGACAGAAACTTTTTGAAATAATACTTATTATTTTTGTTATACTTGTTTTGTTTGGAATAATGAGAAAAGGAATATCTGAAGAAAACAAGAGCTGTCAATAGGACAGCGTGTTCGGCTATTCTCAGTGCTTGATTGTAAGCCAAGAGCCTGGAAAATGTAGAATTTCCTAAATTAAAAAAAACGGCCCATAGACCTCTAAAAATTCATGTTAGAGTTATGAGCCTTGGAAAGGTACCACATTTTAAGCTCTCAAATAAGTGTGTGAAGTTTCAACTTCTTCCCTAAAGTAGTTTTTGGAGATACAAGTTTGCACAAAAAAATTTAACTAAACTATGACAGTGACGGAGAGTTCAACGTCGGATTGTGTACAAAGGCTCTCCGTATTCTTCGACAATTCGAGCTAAAAGAAAACAACACAAAAAATCTAGTTGTTTTAACCATGATTTAATTTTTATTACAATAAAGTGCGGTCATACACGCGAACATGTACTATAAATTTCATAAAATGATATTTTTTTTGTATCAAATAATAAACGACGCAAAACTTTTTTTAAACAAATGACCGTCTACTTATGTTTATAACTAGTTGACGTTCTTTGAAGACCGGAGACTAGAAAACCCCAACTGGCAGATTATCAAATGCCCAATTAAAAATTATAAACGTTACACAGATACAAAATAAACCCCTTAAATTTAGTACAGCCGAAATTGTATCAATTATATTGTGACATTAAAATCTGGAAAAAAATAAAAACAAATTACATACATCCATTAAGGGTGAAAAAACTTAATAAGATCTTACTAGTAAAATTTTACTGAAATTGCCAATTGTTTATCACAGAATAAATAAAGCGTTTTACAGAACCTTAAAGAGATATACTTTGCCACGGATTTATATTACAGTCCGTGACTTTGCTCATCTTTGATTTAACCATTTTATTGCAGATATCAAGAAGAGAAATCTCTAATTTAAATAAGAGAATGCATAAACCAAGTTTAAGAAGCTGCTTTCAATATATTCAGTAATAAAAGTATCTTCCGGCACATTTGAAGGCAAATCAAAGGCCATTTTGACATTTTCCCCTGTGTGACCCTTGGTGGCAAGTCTTTGACTGTATACAATATGAATATAATTTTTATTATCGGGTGCCCTAAATCCGCCCCGTCCTAGAGGCACAAACGTTTTTGTGTTGATCACAAATCTCAACAAATGGTCGTTAAGAAAGAAAACAGATGGATATTTTTAGAGAAGGGACTAGCCGTACGGGCCCGTACGGCTAGTCAAAAGTTCTAGTCGTGCGTGAGTCACGAACGACAAGCCAGGGCGCACTGTATAGTCTGGCCGTACGGCACTTTTCAAAATTATATGGTAAACATCAAAGTAAGTTTGATTTATCTGCAAAATTCCTTTTACATAGAATGCTTGGATCATTAGAAAATATAGTGTAGCAAACAAACACAGTGAAAATGCATGGGGTAAAGAATCATGGCCTCCCGCGGATAGGTTTAATAAAAATGACACATTAAGTTCAGTTAAATAAAATTGTTCCAAATAATATGGAAATTGTTCTAGATGTAAAATTTCAAAACAAAGTCTGGTTTACATTCTACAAATGTTCTAAATAAACATACTACGTTTTGTAAAAACATTCTAACACCTATAACAGTTTTGTTTGTTAATTTTTCATAAAATATTGCACATTTGTAGATAGGTTTATATGACTTGACAAATGTCTTGATCACAAGGCCATTAAGTTTCATTTTTTCAACAAAATAAACACTTCCATTCATTAAGTATTCATTGATCACCTTTATCTTTTTCTAATTCTTTTTTATGTTAATTGACCACCTTTAAGCTACTGAATCACCACAATGATTGCAATAGCAGTTCATTGGCCAACACATTTATCACTTTTAAAATCAATAAATTAGTACAAAGGACTTGTTCTACTTTGAATAATGAAAAGTAAAATGTTCGAAATGTGAAGGATTTATTTTTTTTACTGTAAAGTACTAATAATCAACGGTAAACATATTTTGTCAGTGTCTTGGGTTTCAAGTCACACCAATACTGTAAGATTATATGGCCATTTTTTCAGTGAAACTGATAAAGGAATGTCTTAGGTGTCATGTCCATGCATTATTTCAGGTTTGAATGGACACCTGAGTACAACAATCACCAACTTTTACGTTTTGGTTAGTCAAACAAATGCTGCAAAGGTTATTTGACCACCTATCAGC